GCTGCTAAGGGGGTCCCGTTTTTGCCTGATAAATGGGGTTTGCAGGCGAGGTCGCAGCCTTCAGCACACGGCGCAGGGTGGCGAGCGGGCCCTCGTGCTCAACAATGCCTCTTAACTTCTACGGCCTTTTTAAAAGCCAGATGCTTGACATGAGTTTGACACTGTTTAGTCTCTTGGTTTTGAAGATTTAGATCGCTTTGGGAACCTCACCAGCGCTGGCAGACCGGCAGCATTTCCCCGTGGATCTGATGGGCGCGGTTGCTTCCCCATTTCAGGGAAATCCGGATAAAAAAAGCTGGTCAGCATGAGAAAGCCTTGCAACTTTCAGGAGCCTCCCTAAACACGTGCCCACCCCAGGCTTTGGAGTAGGAACCCAATGTCCTCTTTCCAAACCTCTCACGGCGCTTTGGTCCCCGTGGCGAAGCCCGTGAGCATCGGGGAAGTGTGGTCCAGGCTTCTCCCGCTTGGGGAAAGGCGACGTGTCTGCCTTCGGCATTCATCAGCTGTACAAAGAGCAGCAAGTGGGAATATATGTTATCGCGTGCCTCATCTGGATGCTCTTAAGGGAGAGGGCTTTCTCCGGGGGCGAGTGCCAGGCCCGCCGTGCGTGCACATCGCCCCAGCAAACAAACAAGCGGTGGCCTTGGACGGCTCGCTCCCTCGCCGAGCCCCGGTGGTTGTATTTTTAGCTCTGTATCCCAGTTGGGTTCATAAAACTTTCCCTCCTTCTGTTTTCAATCAGTCGTAGATTATCTCTGAGCTCTGGCGGGATTTTTCCCAGCCCGTCGGTTGTCCCCTTGGTTGGTTTTTTCCGTAGCGGCACATCCCGCAGCTGGAAGGAAAGGGCCCTGGGGGCGGATCTGCTCCCTCCAGCATGCAGGATGGCTTGGGGGCCAGTGGGGATGCGTGGCTGCCCTCGGCATCCCAGGGCCCAGCGCTGTCCTGGGCATCCTCTGGCTCATCCCCTGGGACACCTGGATCCGGCTGTGGGGACAAATGAGCTCCCGTGAGCTGTCGGCAGTGGAAGGGCTGCATTTCCATCCCGCATTCCTCCCTTAGGCATCAGTTCCCGAAGCCACAGAGCCAGGTACCTGTGCGGGACAGAGACCTGGGAGCGTGCTGGGAACCAGCGAGTCCCCTGAGCAGCCAAAACACCAGCAATTCAACCAGTTTGGGGGACCTTCACCCTCCTGCAATGCTGCACCAAAAAGCCAGAATGAAAAAAATTGTTATTCATACACTGCAAAAAAAAAAAAAAAAAAAAAAAAGCCTGAAAATGGGGGTGGAGAGAGGTAACTCTGGTAACCCTG